GGGGAGCTGAAAAGTCCTTGGCTAGTGTAAGCATTACCTAGCAACAACTAAAACATCGGTGCGTTATCAACTTTGTTCTCACCCTAAATCCAAAACACAGCACTGTACCAGCTACTAGAGAGGAAATTAACTCTTTCCCTGCCGAAACCAGGACAGCTTCTGACAAAGGAAGTGTCTCCTCTTTGTCAGTAGGGATGGCAGAGTATTCATAAACACAGGATGAAGTTTAGATTTCTCTAGTTAAGTTGAATGTTATACTGCAAAATGCAAAATAGGCAAAAGGATTCTGAATGGATGTGTAAATATATCCTCTTTCATTAGACTGATGTATTAAAATGTCATGTGGTTAACTATGTGATGTTGTTGCTTGCTAGTGTATGCAGAACTATTTTTGAACTCACTTCTCTGAAAGAGAGACACAGGGAAAAGCAGGATTTCATAGCAGGAAAAAAAAGAACTTGGTATGATAGTATCAATAATTTCTGCATTAATAATTAGTGTGTTGCCATAGTTTTGAAACATTTCTCATTTCCAAGAAATACATGTATAATTATATCACGGAAGTGCATTGTCAAATTTTAGCATGTTGACATTATAGCCAAGATATTGAAAAAACTAATTTTCTTTTTCTCAATTTTTAAGATCCAGATTTTAAGGACCTTGGTGTTTTGAAACCATTGCCAGGTTGGTATGTTGTTGTTTTTTTTTTAACTTGGAGGTCTTTGCACTCTGCTGTAGAAAACATTTTTGTTTGCTGTTCAGGTTTCATTTTTTCTGGTATTTTGTTATTCAGTTTGTGAGTTTGAGATGGGAGGACCTGAAGGAATTGTGGAATCTGTACAAATTGTCAAAGAAGGAAAAGCTTCTGAAACTGAAGCAGTGGACTGTAAATGGTACATCCGAGCACCACCCCGATCCAAGGTCAGTCCTTCATCCACTTGCTGATTTGCCATTTAATTTAAGAAATTGACTTTTCTAATATGTTGTGCATTTCTTAGTACAGTCAGATCTTGTTTAATAACTTTACAGCTTGAACTTGTAAACTATTTTTTTCCTTCTGCTGTGGAAGGGTAATTTGTCACCTCAGCCAAAATAACCTTCGTTCTCTATAAATAATGATGTGGGCAGCTTTAATGTGCTTTTTGTGCCATAAGTAATTTTTTTAAATTCATCTTTAATTTTGCTCATATTTTTAAAGAATCAATGTGTTTTCTTTAGCGGGAGGTAATTTTATCACTTTAATTTTCAATGTACTTCAAATATCTAATATAGAGACTACTAAGGGAACACAGCTGGCTCCCTAAGGTCATCATTGTTTCTCATCTGGGAACTGTGAAAAAGGAGCCAAGGTAAATTCACGTTCCTCTGTATGAGACCTTTAGTTCCTTTGGTTTAGAGCCACAGACAAAAAGAGATAGTGTTCTCATTTCTCTCCCACCACAGTCAGCAAGCCATGCCTTTGTAACAAACAGGAGAGGGCTGCAATGAATTTAACAATTCTTTTCTTGGATTCTGTTTGAGTTTCTCTCTTATCCATGGCTTATCAGTTATTATATGGATTAATTGTTGCTGACTACACTACTGTTTCTCCTCTCTTTGCAATTGGAACAGCTTTGTGCTGTTCCCAGCTACTTTCATTCACTGTGTAAAAGACATTTTCACATTATATTTTTCCTAGCTGTCTTTTATTGGACAGGAAAGGTTTTACAATGTAGAATTTATATATCCACTAATCTCTGCCATCTTTAAACAGATAAGGGCTTTTTTGTATAATCTCAGAGCAGACTGTCCTGAATATACCTAACTGTTCCAGCATTTGGTATTGAATAAGCAGGAGGAAGGGTTTCCAGAAGAGAAAAAGTCATTAGTACCAGCATTTTTCTATTGTGAAAATTTAGGAGAGGAGTTGAATAGTTGGCTCATAAAGACTACAGGTTAATTATTTCCAGAATATACTTTAATCTCATGGGGTTTTTTACTTTTGGATAAATTCAATATTCATAAAGGTTTTCAATTAAGTAGATGAGTTTCCCACTTTGCCACAGCAAGTAGCTATAGACATGAAATGACTGGACTGATGAATGATTATTGCATATGTTATATACTTAGGTATTAGTAGAAACAAAACAGATAAACACAAAATTAGAATTGTGTTTATTAGAATCAGCACAACTAAATAAGCAGATAAAATTGTCCTGTAGTCTTAATTTCAGTTTATGTTTGGTTGGTCAGACAATGTCATTGTGATATTCTTACTTGATCTAACTCTAAAGTTCTATATGATTCAAAGTCCTGCTAGAAATCCCATCTTTACTTACCTGTAGGATTTATCCACACTTCAGTCCTGATGTAAAAATACAAATTGTGTAACTACATAACCATAAACACAGTGCGTAACAGAAGAATGCCACACTACCACTGCTAATAGAGGATTGAAGATGGTTTAGTTCTTCATTAACTTCTACATCTGCATTTAGTAGTGTTGCATTTCAAAAAGTGTGTACCTGCTGAAGAGCATCTGGAAGGGAGAGTGATGAGAGAATTCTAGAAAACCTGAAGAAACACTGAAAGTTATTTAATGTCATCTAGAAGATTTTGTAAAGGAGCATGGCAGATAATAAAAGGCTTTTACAACAAGGAAGGAATGCTCTGATGTCCATGTCTATAGGATAAGTCATGCTCCTGCATTCTTAAAGAAAGATTCAGGTTAGATACTAGGGAAGAAAATTTCAAACGGCAGGGAGGGGATTATGAATGGTTGGTTAAGGAAGTTTGTTCAGCCAGCATTGCTAGCAGTCTTAAAGTGCAGGTTAGGTAACAACCTATGAAAAATGAGAGAAACATTACTAATCCTACATTTAGACAGAGGGATGGGCTGGGTCATCTCTTGACGAATCTTGCTGCTCCCATGTTACAGAATTCTCTGGGTAGAGAGATAGGGCAATATAAAAGCATATCACTCAGTGTTTCCTAACATGTGGAGTTGAAAGCTTTTTCAGCAAGCTAGGAAAAAAAATAATTTTCAAGCCTAGGTTCATCTTAGAGGGGTAAGTCCAATTTAGCACTTGAACTTTCTTAGTGTGGTTTTCACAGATATATATATACACACACACAAATATATACGTGTATGTGTACACACATGCACACACACTTATGGTTATGGTATCGCCATACTGGGACAGGTTGAAAAATTTTCAGATATTAAGGAAGGAATTAGTGGATAAAATTTTAAAAAAAACCTTGTATGAAGTAAGATTTATGATAAGATTGTTTATGGGCCTGATTCAATTGAACTGGATTCTATTGTCCATATTTTACAGTCAGCTTCCCTTGTGCTTATCTAACCTTGAACTAATGACATATTCAGTACAATAATTCAGTGACATCATTCTAATTTATGGCAGCTTGCACCTATGAAAACAGGCTCTCCTGCTAAGAACAGTAAGAACTCAGCAGACGTCTTTAAATCCACATGTTCCTGTACTCTGGGCTGCACAGTTTGTTACTGGGAACTATGCCTAAAAGGCCAGAGTTTCTCAGACAACGTTTGAGTTGGATCTTTACATCTTTAGTTTCTTAATTAAACTGTGCCAGAATGTGGACTGCTTGCAATTTCATTTGGCTTAAGCTCATCCAATCTAAACTGTCTACAGAAGCAAGAAGCAAGTCCTTTCCTTGGTTTGCAATTCCAGATTCAAGCCAAGTCTGAGCTCAATGTATGAGCAATGAGATCAGACAGGGAGTATGAACTTGAGATCTCTAAGCCTGAGCTTCAAACAGACAGTCTGGGTGTAACATTGCTGCTATCCTCAGCAAGCTGGAACGGGACAGAGAACAGCAAATTTCTTGCACACACTTAAAATAGAGCCATCACTGATTACCTTATAGCACAGAAAAAGAAATGCGGAAAATGCATGCAGAACTGAAACTTTCTGGAAGTGCAGAAGACAGCAGAAGGCAGTTTAACCACGTCATCAATCTATACACAGACCTGGAGCCTTATATTTGACGGTGACTGGTTGCAAAGTGTTTCTTGTAATCATTCGAAGTCAGTTCCTGCTGAGTAAGATAGCTGTGAATCTGGAGTTCAGAAATACTGGGGCTTCTGCACTTTGTGTAGAAACTGACTTCAATCAGTAATCAGAGCAAGAATAGAAAATGAAGAAGAGAGCTGCTGACTGAATGTGCCAACCTACCCAGAACAGTAAAAAGCTGGAGGAACCTCCCCATCCCAAAATTCTTCACTGTAGAACAAACACCAAAGGAGGAAGTGGATAAGCTTATTGCACTGGGATTTGAAAAACTTCAGAGATATCATTGGCTGCAGCAGTGGATAAGCAAAGAATCTCTATTTATGAATAGAAAATAAGAAAATTAAAAGAATGCTAGTATTTTCTCACTTTCTGTTAAGGTTGAAATGTTGGAGGATAATATTGACGACAAGCGTTTTTCTATATTGGATGTGTCAGCAGAGTTTGACAAGGTCCCCTGGGAAGAGAGAATGCATGTTAGTGCTCAGGTAGCGCTCCCTTTGGTGGGTAACTTTCCCAGCAAGGTACCATTGTGTCATGCTTGTTCCTTGAGAGGTTTTGTAGAAAAAAAAAAAGACAGCAGAATTTGACAGTAAAAGTAATAAAACATTTGCAAAGATGATGTTCTGATGCTGGGAAAAAACAATAAGCAGTGCTTATAATCAGAAGCTCTGGGCAGCTCGGGAAAGAGCAACCAAGCTACAGATAGGCAAGCATTAATTTGAATCCTGTCCAGTGGAAGTCATCTATTCAAGAGAAATGAGCAAGAAGTACATTTAGTCTGAGCAAATAGTGAGGCTACCTGCCGTAGGTACACCACGAGAAATAAAATGAAGTTGTAAGCTAGTTAGGCAAAGCGATGCCTAATTCTCCTGCCCCACCTGAGCATGCTACTGGGCAAAGAAGATCTCTTTACAGGTTGTAGGATGCAAGACTTAACAAAAAGCTTAAGAAACTGAAAGGATTAATTAACGAGTATCTAGTTTTGACATATTATTGCAGTATCCTTAAACCTAAGCTGCCTATGAGCGGTGACGTTTGTTTCAAGCAAAGCTGTTGCGGAGCAGTGGGAGAGGGATGCGCAGCACACAGGAGGGGGCCAGGGCAGGGGTGGCCACAGGGTCAGGACATGGCCGATGAGGAGAGCCGGGCAGGCCCAGCCATGGCAGCTGGGGTGCGGTGGTGGCTGGGCTCTCCCATGGCAATGGGGCCAGCTCCAGCTCAAGCCAGGCAGCAGCTCGGCGATGCATGAGGCTGGGGCAGTGAGGTGTGAGGCCAGGCGTGAGCCAAAAGCCCAAGTGGGACCAAGACACTTGCATATTTACAAAGGATGGGTATTGCTACATGGTAGAGGCTCTAAATCACTTGCTACTGTCTTCATGGTGGAAAACTTGTATCCATATACCTGACCAGATAGAGAGATGATGCTTTCGGTTCCAGGTGCCTGACTTCAGATGGAATGTTGTCTGGAGAGAGACTGGGTTGTTGCGCACGCACTTCCTAGACAGTTAGGAGGAAACACACAGCGAATCAAATTGCAGAGCTACAAGTCTGTATAAACCAATCTGACTAAACCAAAACATTTTCTGTTTTCACATGTGAAGTGGAAACTTGTGCTCTTGGATGAGACCTGCAAGAAGAACAGTTTAAGCTGTCAGCACTGGCAGACTAGCATATCCCTAATTTTTGGAGGCTTCTTAATCAGCTGTAGAAGAGAAGTTTTAAGTAGTACACTAAAATTTAATAGGAGCCATTTGAATGGTGATTCCTGAAATGTGACAGGAAAATGAAATTTAGAGACTGAAAAACCTAACAGCCAGAAACACTTTTACAGGCTTCAAATGAGCTCCATCTCTGAAGAAACTCTGAAGCTTGCTAATATACAGATAA